TCACATGGTGCATTTATCAAAGAGTCAGAAAACAAGGCTGCAAAACCTTGGAGTGTGTTGGTTATGGGAATTTCAGGAAAGGGGAAGAGGAAGTTCAGGTGTGTAATTCTAATTTGGGTCTCTGTTATTAATAGACATCCTTGTGTCTGCTTCTTTGTGATCACTGGTCTGAAAAGCCAGCAGTTTCTTACCCTGAAAGCAGCCTTAAAAAGAAGAGAAAGCAGGAACAGATGAAACAGAATTACTGTTTACATATGCAAGTCTGCGGTAATGAAAAGTATCCATGCAAGAGAAACACAGTGCAATATAATAGACACTTCACACTTACACACAAACTGCCCAAGTCCAACTCAACCTTTATCTGCATAAATAGCACTTACACAGGTACGTTTAGCTACTTAAGTGGCATTGTGGGCCTGTTCTGTAGATTTTGTGCTTTCTGCCCCCACAAGAACACAAAGTAATTCTGTGTCCACAACAGAAAAACAGAGAAGAGCCCTCCTACATTTTAACTCATTGGCTTAGTGGTTACCATATTTGCCCAGGCTCTAGACCCCACTTATTTAGGTTCTAGACTCAGAAGATTTCTAACCTAAATCTCCCATTCCCAGCAGAGTCTCCTAAATGCTAGTCCATGGGCTAAGTGTTGGTAAGAGCACCCTACACCTTTCCTGTTGAAGGAGACTCATTTGAAGGACCAGGAGGAGAAAGCAAGGCATAGGAAATGTGGCTCAATAGGTTGGGCATTGCCCTGGAAAGTTGGGCAGCAAGGGACTCTGCCCCTCTTCCTGCCCTTACCTTAAATAGTATTCCTAGACTGTATATTTAATAGTCAATGGATAAAATGGGGAAACAGCATCTGGATATTTTCTGCAATTTGCAGTAAGCGCTACTAACCCCTATAAAAGGGAGTTGGACTGGCACAGCATATTGTGCCCAAATCAAGGTGTATTACAGAATATATTATCTGCATTTTACCACTTCTGGCCACAGAAAGCAAAAGGGGCACATTTCCATAACAGTGGGGACCATGTTTCCCATTTTTGAGGAAGGGTGACAATTTGAACCCCCGTTTTGCAATAGCAAGTTAATTCTGTGAGCAAAAATGGGGTAATTTTCATCACCAAGTTTTCCCTTGTGGTTAGATAGCTGGAGGTGTAATATCTCAGATTTTCATTTATGGTTCAGCTGTGGGCACAAACATGTCTGCACTCAAAAGTGGGCATAGAACCTATAAAATCTGTTTCCCATTCTCTTGCTCTCACATTAAACCATCCTTCCTCCCAAGAAGGTTTGGTTTCAAATTAAACCTCCACAAAGAGTGAGATGCTTTTTAAAAAAAAAGCCAATATATTCTTCTGCAGCCATCTAAATTCATCAGCAGAAATACTAGTGGCTAATCCACTAGCTGAAAGTCTAAACAAAGGATTTTAATTCTCTCTATTAAAATAGGAAATGGGTTTTATATACCAGTGCAACACAGAGAGAGCAAGTGAGTGAATGAATGAATACAGCTGTAAGGTGCTATAAAGTTTTTATTTCAGTGTGTTTGAGATGACCAAGTAACTCCTAAGTGCTTGTGCCATGAGTGAGTTATATAGGTCATCCCCAACAAATGCTAGTAAAATACTTCACAGTCCTCTCATATCAGCAAGATTGTATTTATGTAATTTAATTTTGTTTATTCATTTATTTATTTACTTTTGCCTTCCCTCGTATCCCCCACTTTGAAGTCCATTAGCTACTATGGAAACAATGTTTTAATTAGGGCAGGATTTAGTTTTAAGTATAATATAAAGCCAGGCTGTATAATCATTTGAAATGTATGAGGGTGTATGACTTTGTAATGATTAATATGAGCACAGATGTGGTTTCTAAAAAATGTAAGGGGATTCCTATGGCTCAGGTTCTTAGATACTGTGGTGGTGAGAGTGATACAAAGACACAGGACGAGAACCTAGTACTTTTCTGCACATTAATACACTGTTCCACCAGAAAATCTACTAAAATCAGCAAAACAGCTTGAGAAGTCAGGAGCGTATCTATGTATGGGAGTCCTGCTGGGTTCAGCCTCAACTCTGATGAGATTACCTCTCAGTTGAAGCACAATGGGACAGAAGCTCATGAGTAATCAAATCTGCTGAGGACTATTAAGGCAGACTGAATTCAGAAGATGATCTAAGTGAGAGGTTAGAAGTCAGACAAGGTCTGGGAACTGATTCTTCACACCAGTGAGCTGGAAAGACCTACCTGGAGCTTCATGGCAGGAGGGGAAGGGGTGAGGCCTTAGCATCGGGGCAGGCAAATATTTTGCACAGAGGGCTGCTTATTGAGTTTTGGCAAGCCATTGAGGGCCACATGACAGGCAGCTCAGGGCAAATTAATATTAATTTTCTAAAATTTTTAGGGGCCCCGTGGGCCAGATAGAATGGCCTGGAGGGCTGCATCTGGCCCCTGGGCTGCATTTTACCCACCCTTGCCTTAACAGCAGGTCTGATGGTGCACCCCTGAAGATTTTGGGTGTGGCTTATTGCTACTTGTCTTGCATTAAATTAGCCTAGTGAGAACCTGGGTAAATGCCCTGGTTGCACTCAGGACAGCTGTGTGTGCATGTGGTAGAAGTCCAGACTGCAAGACCTGAGTTTAGGAAGGAAATAACAAGCCCAGGAGAGAACTGAAGGAGCTGAAGACCAGTTTTGATTTAAATTGATATTAAATAGTGTATTGTTGCTAATAAACCACAAAACCTCTGAAAAGGGATATAGTTCAATGATGTAAAACCTTATGTATAGTTCCTGAGGAGCTCAGGAAGAGCAAACTGGAAAGGCCTAATGGTGGATTAGATGCGCCTTTCCATCTGGTGCTTCTTCAGTCTATCTTAGTGTCAAGTGAATCTTAGTTTAGTTTCTAACGGCCAAATAGGTATGTCATAAAAGCTGCTATCACAACTGGCAACTGCAGAAGGCCAAGAAAGCAGAATAGGACATAGAAACAAATCTGCCTTCTTAGCTTTAGAAGAGGGCACTGGAGAGCAAGACTGAGGAGTTAGCGAAGTTTGAATCTTTTAGGGGAGCTGAAGTACTGTTGAATGTATTGCATCTATTATGGGGTTAAGTAGAAGAACTTGGTTTCAAGGGTTCTGAATTTTTACCATATTGCTATACTTCCATTAAAATTGATGGCGTTCCACCACTGGAAATGTAGGACCAGCTTCTCATTTCATTACCCCAATGTGTCTGTGGTTTCCAAGAAGTTAACATGACTAGGAATGATGTGAATGCATTCATATGGGAAAACACTCCTCCAGCTTTAATGATGTTTCTTTTAAAACAGATTTGTGAAATGTCAAGGACACAGAACAAGGACAAGGTCACTTTCATGGCATTTCCTAGAATGACAACACCATAGCAGTATTTGGAGACTGTTTAGGGACCAAATCTTTGTCTTTTTAAAATACTAAGAAAAAAAATTGCAACATAACTTTTTCAGTCTTCACTTAAATCCTGGAAACAAGTACTTCTCTGTCTGAAGTAGCTGATACCTACAAGTTCAAAGAAAGACAGAGCTAATTATTCTACTCCCAAAGGACAAACATCTTGTACATCTAATATACCCTCCAAGCAGATAAAGTTAGTTTTTGTGACAGTTTAATTATACAAATACTGGTAGATAAATGGATTGCACAAAAACCATAACCTGCACTAAGTTCACTGGGAGGTTCCATATTAGTAATGGCATTCCTAACCCTTTTAAAGTTAAACATGTGTTTAAGGGTGTAGTTACATGTTACAATTAGCACGTACTGACTCTAAGGAATGTTAGGCTGTGCTAAAGTTAGCACATGCTGTGAGCAGTCACTTGTTAAGGGTTAATACCCCATCTAACCTACCTGCTGCTAGAGGGCTGGTGAGCAAGGGCATGGCTAGGAGCTGCTAAGTCTGCTCCATGCCTGCCTGCCTCTTTGCTCTCTAACTGCAGTATAGGCCAGAGGGAGAGGGTGGCAGGGGTCTCCCAGCCTCCCCAGGCTATTTGGGTTACCCCCCTAGTGGCACCCTTGCTACCTGGATCACCCCACACTCCCCTATCACTTTTACCACCCTGATCACCTGGCAAGTTGACTGCACCCCGGTTGCTCAGATCACCTCACCCCTGATTACTCACCCACAATGATCACCTCATGGATTGCCCCCCTGTTGCCCTGATTGCTCCCTGCACTCCTTTTGGCCACTTTCATTGTGCTTCCTGTTGCCCTGATTAACCTGAAAGCATCAGTGGGGTTCCCCCTTCCTCCCTGCTCCCAGTCTGCCTGCAACCCACACCACTCCTGTGCACCCAGATGCAGCCAGTGCACTCTTGCCAGGACCCTCATCTGTTCACTCACCCTCCAGTCCATCCCTCTTCCCCAGCAACTGTCTAACAGCTCTGCACAGGGGAAGGGGGACAGGTATGTGAGGAGCTGCTAAGCAGCTGTGGGGCGCAGCAGGAGTGGCATGGGCCCAATTGGGGTGCACAGAGACTTGCCAGACCCACTTACAGCCTCCCAGCACTGTAAAATGGGAGGAGGAGCTGATCCTTGGGACCTATGCCAGTTGTTACAATGTCACCATTAAATGTGCTTGATACAAGGGGACTAAATGGCTGTAACTCAGAAAGAAACAAGGTTGTAGCTGCAATGGTTTTGCTACACTCAGGTTCCTACAGAAGTATGTATATGTAACAGTTGCAGGGGTTTGGGTTGTAGCCGTGTTGGTCTAAGGACATAGGCAGACAAGGTTCCTTGGGTGAATTTGATATCTTTTATTATAAAAGATATATGTAACAGTTGCACTGTACCCACTTCTTGTTATCATTTGACATTGATACAGTTATTAAATCTGTCTATATATAGGCTGTAACTTCTCTGAAAAGCAAGTGAATCAGTGAATATATGCCTGGACTTTCTACAGCAACAGTAAACAATTTTTTTTTTTTTTTTTTTTTGTAATTTATTTCTCCAACAGAACACTTCCACTGGCACAAAAGCTGTACTAACTTATGTGAAGGTGGGTCCTTCCTACAAAAGTACTGTGAGGGCCAGAAAATTAACGTATGGTTGCAAACAACAGGAAAGAAGAAAGGACATCAAGTTCTATAGGAGATCATCCAGGTTAGTTCTAATTTGCTTTTTGTGTGTATGTGTGGTCCTCCTCCACTTAAATCCTTATTGCATCTCCTCTACTGAAGATCTCATCTATACAAACTAATGGGACTCCATTACAAGACAGTCTTCCATTTACTAGTTACCACATGCTTATCAATTGTAGGGTAGACAGAGCTAAATACATCCCAGTAACTGGATAAAACCACAGGCAAATTGAGTTTTTAACTTTGGTCCCATCTACACTACAAATTTTAACCATGTTGCAGGTTGGCTAAGGGCACATATTAAAACGTGGTATTGGTTATAGCTGTTGTGTAATTGGGGTTGGTTTTAGGTTAAACTCTCTTTTTTAAGATAAGAAGTAAGTTTGCTTGAATTAGTAATTTAGTAACTTGATTGACTGTGTTTCGGGGGGGGGGGGGGGTTTGCTTACAATAGGTACCAATGAAAACAAAATTTCTTCCTCTCTAACCCCATGGGATAATATCTGTCTCTTTTTCCATGTTCTTCTCAAAAGACATTTTGACTCCAAAAAAGCTTTAATCTGTTAGAAGAGCCTATGTGTTCCTAAAAGGGCTATGGATTCAAGCTCTACAAAAAGTTTAATCTAATTAACGTTGAAGAAGTTCAACATCTTCATAAATGATTTGGATGATGGGACTGAGTGCACATGTAGCAAATTTGTGGATCACCTCAAGTTCAGTAGAGTGGCAGACACCCTAGAGGGGAGGGCTAGGATCCAGAATGAACCAGAGTGGCTGAAAAATGGTCCACAATTAATCAGGTGAGATTCAACAAGGACAAATGCAGTCTTGCCCTTGGGATGGAATAATTGCATGTACAAATACAAACTGAGGAATGACTGGCTAGGTTGCAATCTAGAAAAGGACTGGTGGTTGCAGTAGACCATGCACTGATTATGCGCCAACAGTTTATCTTGTTGCAATAAAAGTCAACAGCATTCTGGGTTGTATTAATAGGAAAGTCACTTACAAATCCATGGAAGTGACTGTGCTGCTTCTATTTAGCACTGGTGAAGCTTCATCTGAAGTACTGTGTCCAGTTTTGAGCCCTGCACTTTAAGAAGGATGTGGACAAGTTGAAAGGATTCCAGCTCTGAACAATAAAAATTTATTAGGGGCCTGGGAGCAAGACTTACAAGGAAAGGCTGAAAGATCTAGGGTTATTTAGCCTGGAGAGGAGAAGACTGAAGGGAATGTGATGACATTCTTCAAATATCTGAAGGGCGATTTATAGAGAAGATGGAGATGGGCTTTTCTCTGTGCCTGTAGGGGATAGAAAGGAACAGTTCCCTCAAGCCACAGCAAAGGAAATTTAGGTTGGAGACTAGGAGGAATTTTCTGACTATGAGGGTAGTCAAGCATTGGAACAGATTATCTAGAGAAATAGTGGAGCAGGTTGGACAAGCCCTCCTTTCCTATCATTTTGTGAACCCAAATATCTCAGAACTGGTGCTGGCCTTTAACTTTCTTTGGGTTTTCAGCAGAAATCATATACATGGCTGAAATACCTTAAGGAGAATGGATCTCACATTATCTTCGTCATGTGGGAACTGAACAATTGTGATGAAATGTGGCCCGATCCTACATTTGCCCTAGAGAATCTAGGGGAGAATCAGAATCCCTACATTAAATGCATGCTGCTTTCCTGGAACATGCTGAATCTCCTCCTGGCTCGCATTGTCACTGATGGAATTCAGCCTTGCAGGCAATGGGTGTGCCTCTCTTCATATCCCAGTCACACTCTTCACTCAAATTAATGCTTTTTTTCCCCCTTAGAGTAGCACAGCCTTATTGTTAATCACTTGTACTGCTCAACACCCCTCTCCAGCATAGAAGCTGCACATTCCTAATCCCCTTAAAGCCAGCCTGCCTGCCGAGTATAACAAAGAAGCTTTAATACCTTTTTTTTTTGTCCTTTCTCCCCCGGCACCCACATTCAAACAATTTTCCAAGTGTGCAACTCAGCACCTCTCTTCCATGAACATGGAGCCACCTTTCTGTAGGAACCCTGTCACATTTCCAGGACTCCTCTGTATACAGGAATTCCTGTAAGGAAAGCCAAGTGTTCTTCAGGAAAGTGTGTGTCATAAACTGGGATAACTTCTATGTGGTACAAGTCATGCCATGTCCAGGAAAATCAGGGTGGGATAAATGTGGAAGAATTAAAAAAAAAGAGGAGTTTGGCAGCAGACAGCTGAGACTAAATGTCATTTACCATCAGTTGCTATAATAAGGTCAGCTGCTTTCCTAATAGAGCACAGCTTCTTAGAAAGGGATTGGCTCTTCTAATTATTTTGCATAGGAATTCGAGAAAATATTTGTAGTTTGGAATTTATGTATCACTTAGTCCCAGCATGAAACTTTCTAACCATTCTCCAGAGCAGGGGCTATAGACAGATGCTATTATTCCCACTTCACAGATGTGTTACCGTTATAGAGTTGGTGGGTCAGTTGCTGGAGCCTGCTCCACCTGCTTTGTTTCACCAAAATGGTAGAGAGGATTTCAGTTAAAACCTCACAGACCCAACTATTTGGACAGTCTTTTTGAATGGAAGGGAATTTCTACATGGTGTGGGGATAGTATATAAGTGCTATATTTCTTAACTTGGTCCCCAGGATAGCACATTAGGGACATTAGTTCCTTAGGTAAAGGATGTGCAGCTGAGGCCCACAGATAGCTGAGTGTCATTTATAGCAGCTGTGAAACTGCTCTAAGTTGCAGCAGAGGCTAAACATGCCCCTGAACAGTAAGCCACAAAGGCAGCTTACAGCCACCTTTGCATTTTCCCATCTGGTCTTGTTCAGAGTTGAGCTCTACCAAAATAAATCATGTGGCCTCAAGTCTGAACCCAAATTAAAAACTGTTCCCAATGTGGGAATAAATGGAAACTCTAATTCCATAATGAGATGTTCTTGGACATTTCACTTATTTATTGTTTCTAGGTTTTGTGTACATTTTTACATTTCAGTTGCTTCTGCGAAGACACTGCCATGCTTCCTTTGCAAGTGACTGGACACACAGGTGGAGCCTTCATTAGTCTCTTGTATTAGCTGCTAATTTTTTTTTGTTGCTCTGGATTAGCACCAGGCAGGTCTCTGAAGGGTAGTCCTCCTAGTCTGAATAGGTCATGAGCACAATACGAAGTATTGCATGTGGTAGGTAGTGCTAGATTACATTCTGGATCTCCCACTTTCCCCTTTCTTAGGGAGAGCTGCTCAGAGGCCATGTCTATAATGCTGCTGTAGTACTCCCGAGAGCTTTGCTGAGAAAGACCCTCTCACTTTGCATGTGTTAAACCCAGGAATGAGGTGGGGAAACTGTCCTGAGGGCACTTTCCTCTGCTCCTCTTGAGACCTCTGTAAGTGCTGTGTTTGTCTCAGATGGCTTCAGTGCCTATTTCTGGGCTTGGCGTGGGAGGAGTGGGAGTGGGTCACTTAGGTATGCTGTGCAGTGCTCAAAGAGATGCAGCAGACAGGGTGTAGATATGCCCAAAGAGAACAGTTTGCTCATGCTCACAGTTACATTCTCCTTTTCTAGGGGATGGAGAATACTATGTGGAAGCCAATACGTGGCAGTCATGGGGGGAAATGATAGGGAGCTTCATTTTACAAAGCAATGACCTGTACAGCTCTATCTTTGACTTTCCTTTTGCCTCAGAGCAGCTGTAATCCAGTTATATTGATGAGACAATGTCCTTTTTAGAAAAAAAATATTTTGTCTCCCCTTCCTACTGCCTCCTTGTCTCTAAGTCTTGCCCCTTCAATAGTTTATAAACATTTTGACTGGCTAAAAACAAATGGCTGCCCTTCACCTTCCCCATCTGTTTCCCTTGCATCAGGCTCAGTTTCTATCTCAGCAATGAGCCACACTTGCCAACAACTCATTAAATCTAAATAGATAATGGATATGAGGGTTAAAATGGGTTTAAGAAACAAGGTGGGAAATGAGCCAAGAGTGTGGAACAGAGAATTCAGAGAGAGGAAGCTGCAGTGTGCAATATAGAGAGGGACTCAAAACAATACCTCAGATCCCAGTGTCCTCTTGGACATAGATCTGAAGTTGGTAGCTGGCCCAAATGTCTATAACTACCTAATCCTAAACCCTGGATCTAAACATCTCTCCATGTGATCTAAACTTTGGATATAGTCAAGTCTGGATATGATTTTTGTGGTTCAGCCCCAACTCTGAGCCCAGAACAGACTTTCATTAATCAGAACAATCATTGGGATAGCATCTCTCCATTGGAGCAGCAGAGAAACTTCCTTGTTGGTATCATTAGGACTGTTACAAATAATTAGGTATCTGGTATGTTGACTTGGATTTGTTCAAAGGACATTTTCCAAATGTATAAGCCCAACATTTTGATTTACTTTACAATTGTTATGAAGCTAGAGTGATCTTGGGCTTTAAAATGCTTTTTCTTTTCCAATCTACCTTTTTTCCTCTCTAAGAAAATGAACCCCCAGAGATAATCAATGCTCATACTAGACTTCAACAAATAGTACTCATTTTTACTTTTCTAGTGGCAACAGTCAGCTAAGAAATTCTGTACTCAGTGGTGTATTGGTGTCAGCAGTAGTGCAGGAAAAGTAAAGCTGTAAATCCATTTCAGTTTCAAATTACTGTCAGTAGATATATGTTCTAGGACAATAACACACATATGTATGTACATACACACACATACATGTGTAGATTCAGCAGCACTTACCCACTGGAAAAATACATATCCCATTAGTTTTCATATTTTTGAAGTGTCCATCTCCTAAGAAGGCTTATGAGATGGCCTGAGCAGCACTGTCTACAACCTAAGTTGATCAAAGTTCAAGTATGCTCATATCTGAGACTCTGGCTTGATCCATTATATAGAACAGGGTGAAATGTTTGAATCTGGAACTCAACAGTTCCTGACTTCGAGGATATTTCAGCCTGCGTGTGCTACAAAAGTCAATGGGAGCAGGACCAAGTCCTTGGAGTTCAGGTTT